AACATGAATGAACAGCAGTTGAGGTTAGACATGCAACAGAGTTCTGTTTGAGCTTTCTACCTGGGAAGGATGGGAGGGTTAATCTTCTAGTGAGAGAAGAATACCTTCATCAGAGGAAACCTCAACACAGTTTTTCACTGTTCAGGGAAAAAGCCAAGGAAATGCATAACTGGATTGAACACCTGGAATCAGAGAAGTTTGACCTGATGGAGAAATTCAAACGTCAGAAGTATGAGGTAAGAAGGAGATAAAGCAAAAGCTTTTCCATTTAATTCTTGCATCCTAAGTGGGATGGATCACATTTTAAAGAGGGATGTCAAGTCTGAAACTACCTGGGTTCAGAAAAGGCCAGAAAATCAACATGCCCATGCTCAACGTTAATACATACAGTACTGTCTATGTATATGCAGTGTATATAACAGGAATTACCTTCCTATCTGTATGTATTCTTGGACATCTAATGCCTGTTTTCTCTGACTCCTGGGGGAGGCTGATTTCTCTCTCTCTCTCTCTCTGATATTGTTGATGTTAGTTGAATGGTCTGTGCACATAGACAATGATAATTGGGCACATTCATAGGCCCAATGGAGAATGCCTGCTGGAACTACATATTTGCAGTAACCAAGAATAGAAGTATTTACTAGAGACTATTTACTATTCGTATATGAATATCTCCGCACAGGTGGCGGACGGCACGATTTTACCAATGGCTCTGCAGTGCACGATCCACTCACCACTCTTCGACCTTGCAGTGAGGCTTGCCCTCCCACCTCCTGCCAGGAGTGGCGAGCGGACCGTGCACTACAGAGCCATTGGTAGAATCACACTGTCCGCATCCTCCAATTGGTGTGTGGACTCTCCAGCCCCATGGGGCTGGACCCTCGTTAATGCCACCTCTGCAGGGATATTCCTATACGAATATCCCTATCTCTAGTAATTATTCCTTACATTACGTGTTGAGCATGCCAGTGTGTGTATACTATTCCATTCTATGCCTCTTTTTCTGTGTCTGCTAATAGCAGGCCACTCCATTCTGCCACCATTGACTCACTGCCCCTCATCCTCTGTTCTGAAGCCCTTTCTTATTAAAATGTGAGGGCTATATGCAAAACCCAGAGCACAAGAATGTGGATTGGGTACCATTTTTAAACTGCCTCATGTGCCAAGCCCTACTGCAGGAGTTTTTGTAGATTCTGCCAGGATTTTATGGAGTGTGTTGTTTTGGCCTCGGTGTGTCTAGTCACCAAGTGCCACAGGACACTGTGCAGGAATTCATGAACTACATAGTGTATCACATGCTGTAACTGGTCAGGTGGACAGGGTGCATGTATAAAGTGCCCAGCCAGCCAAATGGACAAATGCTTATATATATTTTTTGCTCTACATGCATGTGTATAAAATGACTCTCACCAAAACACATTCTCCATACAAGTGGGGTCTTGACTTGAGAACTTAATCCGTATTGGAAGGCGGTTCTCAAGTCAAAAAGTCTGTCAGTCAAGTCTCCATTGACCTACAGTGCATTGAAAACCGATTAATCCCGTAACAGGCTGTTTTTGTTCCATTTTGGTTTTTTTCTGGTCTGTAAGTCAA